ATTTACTGTGTGTATTTCGCAGTTTTTTTTCAGTAAACTGTATGTATTCTAGTAATGTGAAACTTGTTTTCATAAAATAAATTGCATACTTCAAATATAAGTACTGGTTGTTATTTTGCGGGACAGCGGGTGTGAGTGATGTATGGTGGTGGTGTTTGTGCATGGTGGATGTCTGCTCGATGTGATGAAATACATAACACATGGTCATTCGGGCAACATCAGGACTTGTTGGTCATGACCATAATATTGATGATGCCAGGGCCGAAGGCGAGGGCATCAACAATATTATGGTCATAATGACCACCATCCCTTGGGCAGGCAACAAATCGTGATATTACCCTCACAAACATGTGTTATTATTCAACTAGTACACAGGTGAATAACACAAGGTTCACTGTTGAAAAACAACGTCTCCTCTGATTCAGGGACGATCCTGAACACTTGATGTTTTCGTGAGATTAGGGTTGCTTCAAATAATGTGACGCAGAATGCGGAGGCGTGAAATGAGGTTGCTTAAAATGGAATGGCATGTTATGGCCTCAAATTGGATGGCGCGTAGTAAAATAACATGAGCATCGTAGAATGCATGTCGTGGGTAGAAATGACATAAATACTAAAATCTCGCATCTGGATTAGAAACATATGCTGGCAAAACCATAAGCTCATTCACCTGATTTAAATAATCCGTGTCCAGCTCATTGATATATTTTTCATTTGTCGAGTATTTGTCTGTACAACATATGTACACGACAATTAAAACATTTGTATTATTTATTTTAGTCACGCGCCTACAAATAATACGAATACCCTATTAATCATGTTAAAAAAACATGTACGCGACAATTTTACATATGTCACGGTATATGGTTTTATGTTATACACTATGGCTTCAAAATTAATTTGAATGCAAGGAATATTTCGTGGAGGTAATTATGTCGTATCCAGCAAACTGAAAAGCCATGATGGGCACGTACACATCAGAGCTTTTCGTATTTTTCTGTAATTTCGTTATTTTAACATAAATATTAAATCGCCTTGCACGTTGTCAAGTGTAACCATAGACGAATTTAAATATCCCGTATAATAACATGTATTACTCACCTATATAGCGTAGCATAAAAGACCATCATTACAGAACCTGTTATTGTGTTCGTGGACATATTAAAGGAGTCACTTTCTGTCTGATATGGAAAACACTGGTTTGAAAAGCCAATTCAAAGCTTGATAATGGATCAATGGTAACAGCTGTATCTCGATAATATACGAAACTGCGGCTAATGAATATATAAATGTGATCGTAAATATGTAATCATTACGGGTTACCATTTTCATGCATGGAAAACTATTATAGGCGAACATTCGGACAGTGATTTTTGAATATTTAATTTATTCCCGTACAGAAAGCTGAAACATAGTTTTATTAATCTGTTCTGTGTATATACATTTCTGTGTTAATACTTGTATGTGTGTTGTTGTTGTGAGTTTGTTTTCGTTCAATGCCACATAGAGTGACAAAGGCTACCAATGATTTCCCTGCAGCATTCTGTTCCTCTAAATCCAACGACTATCTATCGGCAATGACATAGATGCAGTTTTTCATAATTAATCTTCAACTGTTTTATTTTTCACTCAAGGAGGTAACTAATTCTCTTGAAGCATAAACCCATAAATTCTAATCAAACTTGAACAAACGCTTTTTTGTTATAATGTCTATTAATATATTTCCAATATTTACACGATGTTTTGCAAATTCTTAAATAGACTTGGCACAGTGGTGATCTACAATGGTTTATATAAATGCATACATATTGTTATATATGTATTTAATAATGAGTAGAAATGTTCTGTCAAGATTTAGTAATTTGTGGGAAAACGAGGGTCACAATAAAGTCATTCGTCACTTCTTAAACATGTACGAACCAAATTCATAGAAAATGACACTTGATAATTAACCATCCATTTCACTGCTACTAATGAAGAACACTTTGTTTTATAAATTTACAACCATCGGGTCAATGAGATAAACCTGGAAGACGCAATACACCAATTGCCAATCTCTCTCCAAATTCAATATACAAAAACAAAACGCATGCCACGAACCGTTGTAATGTTTGGTGTAAGGTGAAATTAGGTGAAAAGATGTCATTCTAGGGTG